AGGTAGGCCGAGGGCTGAACCTGCCGAGGAGACCGAAGATTTGATACTCGATCCGGCCAAGCCGGAGAGAGTCCTGAAGATTGGAGCCAAGCTCCCCGAAGACTTGAAGGCTGGCATCGCCAAAGCCCTCCGCGCCTACTTCATTGTTTTCGCATGGGGGCCGGAGGATATGCCGGGAATTGACCGAAGAGTTATCACCCACCGCCTGGCGGTAGACCCTTCGGCCAAGCCTGTGCAACAGCGGAGAAGACCCCTCTCGGCCGAGAGAAGGGAGTTCGTAAAGAAGGAGGTATCTATGCTCCTCTCCATCAAGCACATCAAAGAGGTGAAATACCCTTCTTGGCTGGCAAACGTAGTCCTCGCGCAGAAACCTCCCACCTTCCGCATGTGCGTGGACTACACTGATCTGAATAAGGCGTGCCCTATGGACCCCTTCCCTCTGCCAAACATTGATCAACTGGTGGATGAGACCGCGGGATGCGAAATCATGTCCTTCCTCGACGCATTCCGCGGGTATCATCAAATCTATATGCATGAAGAAGACGCTGAAAAAACTGCCTTCATGACACCCGAAGGCATCTTCTGCTACCTCGTGATGGCCTTCGGCCTCAAGAATTCAGGCGCCACCTACACCCGAATGGTGGCCAGGGTCTTTCAAGCTGTCTTGGGGCGCACTATGGAGGCCTATGTTGACGATATGATTGTCAAGAGCAAGAAGGCCGGCACTCACGCCGAGGACCTCCAGGAAATCTTTGCCATCATGCAAAAATTCAACCTCCGATTGAATCCAAAGAAATGCACCTTCGGCGTACAAGGTGGAAAATTCTTGGGCTATATGGTAAGCCGAAGGGGTATCGAGGCCAACCCCGAGAAAATTCAGGCCATCATCAATATGGAGCCTCCGCGCAACGTCAAAGAAGTTCAACGGTTGACGGGTCGCCTGGCGGCCCTCAACCGATTCCTCTCTAAGTCAGCCGAGAGGTCCCTCCCATTCTTCCAAATCATGAGGAAGACAGCTGGCTTCCAATGGACATCTGAGTGTCAAGAGGCCTTCGACGAACTTAAGAAGTACCTCTCTTCTCCCCCGGTGCTCTCCAAACCGAAGGTGGGGGAGACCTTATACTTGTATCTCGGTGTTAGCCCTGCGGCAATCAGCTCAGTACTAATCCGAGAGGAAGACGGCATCCAACACGCCATCTTCTACGTCAGCAAAACCCTCCGGGAGGCCGAACTCAGGTATTCTCCCGTCGAGAAGACGGTGCTAGCCATCGTTTGGACCGTCAAGAAGCTTGGCCACTACTTTCAAGCTCATCCGGTCCAAGTGCTCACTCATCAACCCCTCGGCGCCCTCATGAGGAGTCCCACTAGCTCCTCTCGGATGGTGAAATGGGCCATCTTCCTCAGCCAATACAACATAGATATCCGTCCGAGGCCTGCCATCAAGGGCCAAGCCCTGGCAGACTTCGTAACGGAATGCACCGCAAGATCAGCGGTGGATGAGGAGCCTTCGACACCCCTCGATGAGTGGTGGACCCTCTATACCGATGGCTCCTCGGCTACCAAAGCATGCGGAGGGGGAGTAGTTCTCATCACACCCGAGGGCTTCCGCGCCTATTACGCCATCCGATTCTCCTTCAAAGTCTCCAACAACGAAGCCGAGTATGAGGCCCTGCTCTGTGGCCTTCGGCTGGCCGCAAATCTGAAGGCCAAACAAATCCACGTCAAGTGCGACTCCAAGCTAGTCGTAGGCCAACTCTCCGGCGAATATGAGGCCAAGGAAGGAAGGATGAAGCAATACAAGGAAGCAGCCAAAGAATTGCTTAAGGTATTTGAGGCACATTCCCTCACCCAGATACCGAGGGCTCAAAACTCTGAGGCCGACATTCTATCCAAGCTCTCGGATGAATCCCCCGAGCACCTTTCCAAAATTGCAAGAATTGAGGAACTCAGCCTCTCAAGCATCCACGCGAGCCCCGTCATGGACATCCACCTAAGGCCGGAGGACTGGATCTCTGACATCATCGCCTTCGTCACCACAGGGCAACTGCCCCAAGACGAAGCCCGCGCCAAGTTAGCAAAGCTGAGGGCTCCCAGCTACACCATCGAAAACGGGAGGCTTTACAAGAGATCTTACAACGGCACCCTCCTTCGGTGCCTTCATCAAGATGAGGCCGAAATCGCCATGGAGGAAGTGCACAGTGGCACTTGCTCAGCTCACCAGGGACCTTTCTCCATGTCCCGAAGGCTCATAGTTCAAGGCTACTTTTGGCCCACGATGGCTAGAGATTGTGCTGATCTAGCCCGAAGGTGCACTGCTTGCCAACACTTTCAGAAAGCCCCCGGCAGGCCAGCGGTCAACTATGCCCCCATCAGCACCGCTATACCCTTCTCTAGATGGGGAATCGACCTAGTAGGCCCTCTGCCGAGGGGTACCTCCAACAACAGGTACATCATCGTTGCCATTGACTACTTCACCAAATGGGTGGAGGCCGAACCCCTCGCCAGCATCACTGAGGCCCGGTGCCGCCACTTTGTTCTCAAAAATATCCTCACAAGGTTTGGCGTCCCCCAACAAATCATCTCCGACAACGGAACTCAGTTCGAGGCGGCCCCCTTCTGTGCCCTCCTTGAGGCTTGGGGCATCAAGCACGCATTCTCTTCCGTTGCCTACCCTCAGGGCAACGGACAAGTAGAAAATGCCAACCGCACTCTCCTTGAAGGGTTAAAGAAGAAGCTAGAAGCCGAAGGGGGAGGCTGGGTAGAAGAGCTTCACAACATCTTATGGGCCTACCGCACCACCCCTCGGCGGGCGACGGGCGAAACACCCTTCTCCCTATGCTATGGCTTTGAGGCTAAGGCTCCAACAGAAGTTACCCTTCCTACCCAAAGGGTGGAACAATATGAGCCCGAGGCCAACGACGCAAACATGGCCCTCGACCTTCATCTCATCTCGGAACGCCGAGAGCAAGCTTTCCTCAGGGCCGAAAACTATAGAAGACAAGTCAAAGGATACATCGACGCCAAGGTCCGCTCCCGGGAATTTCAGGTGGGTGACTACGTCCTCCGACGAAGGGAGGCCAGTCTACCCACCGAAGGAGGGAAGATGGCGCCCAAGTTTGAAGGCCCTTACATTGTCTCGGCCATCATCAAACCGGGAACATACAAATTAAAACGTCCTAATGGGACAAAGATTCCCAGACATTGGAATGTGCACCACCTTGTCAAATTCTATCAATAAAACGTGAACGGCCAAGCCCTCATACTCAGCAAGTGTAAATATCAATGGCCCAAGGCCCCATCTGTTTTTGAAGAATAATCAAAAGGCCAAGCCTTCGTCACCTACATACTGTACAAGCGGCCCAAGGCCCCCTTCTCTCCTATAAATGAGTGGCCAAAGCCCTCATCGCTTCATCAAAATAGGCCCAAGGCCTCTCCCTCTCATGAGGGGGAACAACAATTTAGGTACCAAGCACCAAGTGTGGGGGTCACCCCCATCACTCTTTGAAAACACCAAGTGTTTTCCCAAACTTTTACACCAAGTACTCGGCTCCGGCTGGTACCAAGTGCCCCCGGCTATTTGTGTCCCACACACAAATAAAACCCTTCCCAGGAACGCTTTCCGCGCCATCCCCCAAGGGGAGGCAGGCAACGGACCATGTCCCGGGCCCAGGATTCGACTTCCACAAACGAAACGCTCCCCGCGCTATCCCCCAAGGGGAAGCAGGCAACAGACCATGTCTCGGGCTGAGGGGACGACTTTCAAAACCGAGGCGCTTTCCGTGCTATCTCCCAAGGGGAAGCAGGCAACAGACGATGTCTCGGGCCGAGGAAACGACCCTCAAACCCTTCGGGATATCGGAAGGTCATTCCCGAAGGGGGAGCCAACGGTTTGTTCCGTTGCCTCCCATATAGGCCAAGCCTTTCCTAGAAACCAAGTTTCTAGATGCCTCTCCTACACCATCAAAAAAAAAAAAAAAAAAAAAAAAAAAAAAAAAAATGTGTAGGGGGGAAGGAACTCCCCGGATACTGTTCTCCCCGGAGGCTCAACATTTCGGATATACATTGCCGAAGGCTCCTACAAATGCACAACAAAATCTCTCAACATCGAGTCATCTGGCTACATAGCCGAAAGCTTCACTACATGAAGCCTCGGAGTACAAGCATTCCACCGGAGGCCCAAAAAAGAGGCTCACTAGCAGAACCTCACTAAGTCTATATGTGCACAAACCGGAGGCCGAAGGCAGAATGTCACCAGGCTCATTCAAGGATGAGAAAATTTCTAAGTCCACGTATTGGAATCCTTAGGGAAACACTCATCGAACCGGGGGGCTACTCACAAGATCTGTTGGAAACACATCTCAGAATTTCACTAAGTCCATAATCTCGAACCCCTCGGCAACCATATGTACCGGGGGCTCAGAGCAGTTCCCATACCGGAAGGTTAACTACAACTACTATTGGAATATTGTGGAAATTTGACTAAGTCCACAATTGGAGACCCTTCGGGAGAAAACAGGGCCGCCCTCTTCACTTACAGGGTTGCGGCCGATGGCCCCCCAAACTACTTGGCAATAGCCAAGATCTACACTACTAAACAAAGGATCCCAAGATTCCCGAAGGCATTAGAGGCAACTTCACTTGGGAAATTTCCTAAATCTAACTCACCTTAGCCCTCGGTGAATTTGCTACAACCCGGAAGCAGTCCCAATGGTTCATCACCGGAGACATGCGATGGAATTTTACTTAGGAAATTTTACTAAGTCCACAATCACGAGCCTCCGGTGATTCTACAACACGGCCGAAGGGTCCTGGTCTGGTCTCACTTAGAAAATTTTCTAAGTCCACAAACTTATGGTCTTCGGGAAACCAGACAGAGAAAAGGAAAAATCATTCATACGCAAATATAAAAAGAAGCGAGGACATACATTCATCAAAAAGTGAATACTATGAGACGATGGCACCACTTATCAAAGAAGCCCGGAGGCATATCACATTCATTCAAAAAAAAAAAAAAACAGAGTGTTAACAAAGGATGTTTGTTTACATACGAGGCCGAAGCCGGAGCCTACCACTATTACATTCAATTATACTTAGAAAATTCAAGCTTGGGATTCTGCAGCTGCCTCGTCCCTCGGCTTCGAGGCTGCGTCATCCTCCGCATCTTCTTCATCATGGAGGCCATACTCCCTCATTAACTCGGAGTCCGCAAGCTGAACCCTTTCCTCGCCCTCCGGGAGGGGGACCCTCACATCAGGCTGCCGGGGAGGAAGACCATAAGCCGAAGGATCGAAATTGTCCTTGGGAATCTTGAAATGCTCGGCCAGCTTCCGGTAGATGAGACGCTGGGTGAAGAACTCGCCCCCATCGAAATAATCTTTGCCCTTTAGGGCCATCCACTCAGCACCGGGGCCTTTCACCCAAGCATCCACTGAAGACTCCACCACCGAGGCCCTCCACGGTTCTAAGTCATCTGCTTTCCACCCCTCGGATTGGAAGGCGGCAACGGCATCTTTCTCGGCTTTGGAGACGGCCTCGGACTTGGCCTTTGCCGCTTCCTCGGCGGCTTTCATTGAGGCCTCAGCAGCCGCCTTCTCAGCTTCAGCCTTGCCCTCGGCTCGGGCCTTCTCCTCTGCCTCTTTGAGCTTCTCCCCCGACTGCTTAAGGGCCAGCTCCAGCTCGGCGCAACATCTGATGGCCTCAGAATGGTCCCTGATGAGTTTCTCCAGGGCAGCGTCATTTTTTGCCTTGTCCAAACGCACCTGTTCCATCCTCCGGACATACTCTCCGAAGGCCAGGCTGGCCTGTAAGCAAAAGGAGGGCATTCAAGGTCAAACCATGCAAGCAGAAAATATGAGAAAACAAAGCATGAGCTTAAGCGAGGGGAAGGGACTTACAGTGACCGAGGCCTCGAGTGCTCTTCGCTCGAGGGCTTCGTCCTCGAACTTACCGAGGGTCGAGCAATCCAAAGGGGGAGTGGCACCCTTCAGATATTCCCTCGGATCGAGGGTGCCGTGCACGATGGCAGTCCCCTTCTTAAAGGAGAACCGCACCGTCTCTTGCGGCCAGGCCCCCTCGTCAAGGTCCACCAGATGAGAGGGGGAGGGCTCTTCAAGGATCACGAGGGGGGCACCCTTACCTTCATCGGCCCCCCTCTGCTTCTTAGTCACCGGAGGCTTGGAGCCCTTCCCGGTGTTTTTTCTCTTAAGCTCCCCGGCTTGGGAGCCTCCGGCACCAACACCGGTGTCACCAGCAGCAACCTCCTTGGGGGGTTCCTTAGTTTCCGGAGTTTTGGAGGCCCCAGCCTTCTTGAGAACATCGTCGACGAAGAGTTGGTTCGAGGGTCCCCCTTCCTCCTTCTTCTTCTTCGGGGCCTTCGACAGCTTTTTTGATAATCGCGCGAAGGCTTGCACGTCCATAATATCACCTGCAAAAGACAAAGAAGGGTTAGAATCAGGGCTAATCAAGGAAAAATAATCCTAAGTACCAGTAACAGACAGCCCCCGGCTACAACCTTCGGCGTTTTGATATCCCCGGTCGATCAAAGGATATTTTTCGTCTTCGTCCCCCGGAAGGCGATATCGCCGGAAACCCAGCAGGTACAACTCCTCAGGTGATGCCGCCTCCTTAATCGTGATCACTTGGTTGGATCCTTCGGGCTTCTTAGTGAGCTTCCTCCCCGCCTTATCGAGAGCTGCATTACCCACCTTCGGATGCCTCTTGAAGTGGTTACGCAAGGCCCCCGGGAATGGATTTTCGGCAATCCGAATATAACAGAATTTCTCCTTCCATTCTTTGTGGGAGGAGGGGGTCTCGGAGAAGAGTTTCCATGCCGGAACCTGCTGCAAGTTGGCATACCCCCCAGCGTGCGAGTGCCCTCCCCGACAAAGATTGAAGGATACGAAGAACTGGTCTAACGTAGCAGTCACCCCACGGCTGCGGCAGAGGGCCAGGAATCCCGCCAGGTAATAATGACTGTTCGGTGTAAGTTGACAGGGAGCCAATTTAACAAACCTCAGGTATTCAACGACGAAGGGGTGGAGTGGGAATCTAAGGCCCAACTCCACCGACAGCATATGCACCGAAAAGCACCCTTCGGGGGGATGGGATAGCAAGTCGTCAGGCCCCGGTTCTACTACTTGTGCCGACGGCCCCACGAGGACTTGGAGGGCTAAGCATTCGGCGCCCGACGCCGTGGTCTTCACCTCAAGGGCCGTGGTGTCCAAATATGAATGCCCCTCAGGGATCCCAACCGGCTGCCCGGCGTCCACGGCCGCTTGCTTCTTCTTTGGAGCGGCCCTCAGTTTCTTCTTCTTCTTTCCGGGGGCAACGCTAAGAGGCTCCGGATCCAAGGGCCGGGAGCTACTCGCCTCACCAGTTCTCCGAGGGGGAAGCATAGCAACGGTAACCCTCTGCCTTTCACTCTCCTCCGCCTCCTGGGCAACTTGGACCGCAATGGCCATCTCCTCGTCTTCGATTACTTGCTCGAAATCTTCAGCTTCCATCTCCACCAGGAGGCGGCTCTGCACTTCCTCAGCTACGGCCAGGTCGTTAGTTGTCGAGGGCTGTTCGCTCGAAGACACCACGTCGGAAATGCTTTCGGCTTGAACCGAGAGGTCCCTCGAGATATCTTGGGAATCACTCGCAGAAGACATGAAGATAGGCAGGGAAGAGATCCTAACCGAGGGCTCTAAATTGGTTTTAACACTTAATCAAGGAAAGAAAAGCAAAATATACTAAGGCCACGAAGAACAAAAGAAGAACTGACCTCAGAAAGATTAGTCTGATCGAGGGCGGGAGTTTATCTCTCTAGAAAATTTGGCAGAGCTTCGCTATAGCTTAAGGAACGCACAGAACAAATGACTCTGGCCTTGGGTATTTATAGGCTTTTGGGCCTCGATGTATGGGCCTCCGTTTGAAAAGCCATCATTACATGCCGCCAGTTTGACCAATAGGTGCCATCCGCCCACTCTCAGCCACCAAAAACTTGACACGTGGAACCCCTCTCCAACGGCTCTATTCCAACGGCTCTATTTTGGAAACTTGAGGCGAGCTCATCTTTGCAGCCTCCGGCTAACACTCACCGCAGCCTTCGGACAGCGAATTCCACCAAACGCCTTCGAGCCGTAGCAGCATAAGCCTTCATCACCCCTCGGGAACTCATCAACACAACGTGACTCCTTCAGCCCGAACTTGCCTTCGGCCTAAAGGAGTGGGGGACTGGGATACACCCCTCGGGAATCATACACAACAAAAATTTCTTCATGCAACAATTTACAATTGACGCATACGGCCTCCGGGCAAACATCACAGTACAACCCCTCATCACAATACATGCAGACAATACATCTATGCTTTCCTCAGAAAACCCTCGACGTGTGAGGGACTGAGGGAAGCCCCCGGCGAACATGCGAAGGTTACGAATACCTTCCCTCAGAAAACCCTCGACATGTGAGGGACTGAGGGAAGCCTTCGGCAATCAACAGAAGGCAAGTTCTCAAACAAAGGCACCCAGACGGGCGATGAAGCCCCGGAAGAATCAACACATCTACTCCTTTTCCCTCAAGTACCTTTCGGCAAAAGGAGTGAGGGACTCCTGATGGAGTATATGGCCCGGGAACCCCCGGCCCATAGACTCCTACTTCTGCTACACATACCCGATAAGCCCAGAGGACAACTCAGGCCCAAAAGCAACGGCCCAGGCCCCAAAATAGCCCGGAATACATACCGGGGTGCCTTCGGCCTCCCTGGCCGAAGGCTCCAGAAACTCACGAAGTAGCCCTCTCTGACATACGAAGCTACTGGGAGAAAACGGCGAAAAACATGAGCCTTCGGCATTACCAAGCCCTCGGCATTTGGGGAGCCTTCGGTGAACGTAGCCCTCTGCCACTCGGGGCCTTCGAGTACACGGGGGTCCTTGGTTACACGGAGCCCTCGGCTACGCAAGAAGCCTTCGGCCAAGCATGCTCAATCATCGAAGATTCCTTTTGGGGACAGCCAACCACCGCATTTAATGCCACGTCACATCCGCCAACCGCATTCAATGCGGTAAACGTACCACTGCCGGTGCCACCAGGCTGATGTGACCCTTCGGCCGTTGGATTACTGACACGTGTCCCCTCATCGCATTTATTGCTGCTATAAATAGCAGCCCATATCTCCTTGTAAAAAATAATCGACATCCCGATTACACACGCTGAGTTCATTTAATAAAATCGACTCTCTCTCCTCCTATTGGCTCTGACTTCTCTCTAAGTTATTCCCGCAATAACCCCTCGGATAAGATACCCCTCGGGTAGACTATCCATCAATGTTCATGGATTGGAACATGACGTTGAATTAGAGTCGGACTCTAGGATAACATGGAAATATAGTTGGGCCGAGCCCTTGCCATGTGATTAAGATGTACATGGAAATATAGTTGGGCCGAGCCCTTGCCATGAAAGTAAGATGTACATGGAAATATAGTTGGGTCGTGCCCTTGCCATGAAATTAAGATGTATATGGAAATTTAGTTGGGCCGAGCCCTTGCCATGAAATTAGGATTTACATGGAAACATAGTTGGGCCGAGCCCTTGCCATGTAAAAAGGATTGCATAGAAATGTAGTTGGCCCGAGCCCTTACTATGCAATTATAATATGTTAGATTCGGGTTAAAGGATTGCATAGAAATGTAGTTGGGCTGAGACCTTGCTATGCAATTACAACACGTTGAATACTAGGAGTCCCGTGACTAACGGCTACGGGGACTAAGGGAGTGTTTTCAAATGAACAAGGGCCTACGGGCCGACTACTTGACTTTATATATAAAGTAAGTATATATTTTAAGGAGGGTAACTAAGGGTTACGACCTATAATATAATAACATTTTATTTGAAGGTCTTAGAAATTGAAATATTGATTATACTTAGTATAGTTGTCATTGTACTTGTCAAATGCTTCCAAGTACTGACCTCCCCTTCACGGGGGAAGCCACCTCACAGTTTCAGGTAGAACTTGAAGGTTGCTACCATCGCCTGTTGCTTCGGGAGAATCAAGGAGAGAAGACGGGGTTCGTGCTTCTTCCATTTCTGTTTTAAAAAACAATTATATGAATGCTCATGGATAATATTTTCTGAATAATTATTAGGGGGCTTGTATGCCCATGTTTGCCAAGTGTGGCTTGAACACTTGTATTAAATGTTTCCGCTACTTTAAATGAATATTTTACATTATGTTTGTTTATGGATGTACTATGTGTGAATGGTATTTAAGACGCCTAGTATAGTATGGATGAGTTGGACTGCGGTTGACTATTCGTACTGTACGGCGGGTTGTTGACGTGTCCGGTAGGTCCGGGGCGTGACATTAGTGATTGTTGGGATTATTTCATATTAATATCTACGTTGTAAGAACCGGACGGGAGAGTGACCCAGACAGATGATCGGATCACGGGTCAACCCGGACCCGGCGGGTCGACCGTTAAACCCGGTCAACGATTATACACATAATTAATTAATTATATATAGATTGAATTCATCAATAGAAAAATTATATTCCTACATAATTTAATAATGATAATAAAATATAAGCAATGTAGAAAAACTATTATGAACATAATACTTTATTCCTACACTTAAAAACTAATGTATTTAAGTGTATTGATTTAAAAAAAATATATAAAATACTTGGGGATTTAGATGGGTAATAAATATGAACATAATACCAATTAACAAAATAAAATACAACACAACAAAGTTGGAGATTATGTACCAGAAGAATAATAGCACATAGCAGCATTGGTATGTATTTAGTAGTATTTGTATTATTAGTTAATTAATTAATTAAGACTAATTAAAATATTCCAGACTGATAAGTTATAAGGATAGCTAATGCACTGTAAATATTAACAAGCTAGTGTAGCTCGTTGGTCAGCAGATCCGTGTTTGAAGCATTAGGCGCGGGTTCAATTTCTCCTGGCGACCATTTTTTCGGGTTTTAGGCATTTTCTGGGTTTGGGACGAGTCGGGTCCGTCCCGGGTTTCTGCGGGTAGATGGGTAATTCCGGTTTTGGGCTGATTTACGGGTTGGTGCTCAACCGGACCGGATATAAGGCCGGGTGACCGGTTTCCGGGTCGAACCGGCCGTTCCGGTTCGGGTCTTACAACATAGATTAATATGAGCCTTTTCCTGTAAAAAAAGAAAAGAAAAAATTTGTGTTTACTAAAATATGTATTTTTTTTGTAATAAAAGAATGAAAAACGCATCACATCTGATATAAGCCAGAAATTGAAAAACATTTCTTTTTAATTGTGCGTTTTTAACTGCACAATTATCTTCAAGAAATCATTTGACCGGGAACCGCCCCAAATGGCGATGACCGAATAGAACCTCCTATATAAGGACTTATTTGACCTCTTTTATGCAACTTCAAGGACTAAACTAACCGTT